GGGGGGGAGGGCAAGTGCAGCAGAGGGAAGTGATGCTCACCCCCTCAGTATCTTTTATCTGTCCTTGGTTCCAGTCCTGCCTTGCAGCAACCCCAACTCTTGCCAATCTGGAGACCTCTAATATTCATACTGCCCATACCAGCATTTGGTGTGGCACGTGCGTACCAGAAATGGTCACAAGGGCCTAGATTAAATTAAAAGAATTGATGTGAAGCTAGGTTTCACCTTTCATAAAATGAAGCACTTCTCCATCTCCTCATGTGAAGAAAACTGGACCAGAGAATTTATTTCCAGCAAAGTTTATTTAAAGAAGTCTTATTCAAGCTATTCCAAATGCTGATCAATACTACATGGCAGGGAGAGGGGAGGAGAGCAAAAGCAATGGGAATCGGTGAGATCATAGGCTCTAGCACAGAGGTATTCTGTTTCAAGGATATAAAGTGTTTCTTCACAACTTCATCCATGGAGAAATGCGAATCCTTCCCAGGACTAGCTAGTTAAGCCTTGTTAGCTTCCAGTTTTATAGGCTGAGTTCTGACTATTTGGAATGTATCGTTTTAGCTGATTGAAATGGCCTGTCTTCTTGTCAGTATTTTAACAGTTGATCTTGGCACTGTTCTTTCTTGCCCAGGTTCTGCACCCTGGGCTGGTCCACCAAGTCCAGATGGATCTGTTTCTCATGAAGATGGGTAGTCATATCATTGGACTTCTCCCTGGGTTCAAGTGGCTCAGTTTGACAGAGATTGTGGAGGAGTTTGAGAAGCTTATGATTCAGCAGGTACATGCAATGCCATGATCTCCATACACTGAAACACAGCTGCCCCTTTTTCTAGCTACTGACTAGCCAAGTCTGTTCTTGCTTTAACGCCGTTCATACTGCTACTTCCTAAAGGGTTTGATGGAGGCTGGCCTGTTCTTTAGTTATGTTTCCTCTAAGCAGTGTAACATTAATATTGGTGTAGGAAACCTCTTGCTCGCAGAGTACAAACGCAAGACAAAAAACAGTTTAACAATCTATTAGATTTAACAATGTTTGTTAAGACTTTGAGTAAGTTTTCTAGCAAACAAACCTGAATAAGTGGTTAGCATAGTCACAATTCTTTTTGCAGGATTGCAAAAGAAAGAGAGACTGATGAGAGACCATTTCTTAGGCAAAGAATCTCTAAACATAGCTTTCAGGCATGTTGTTTTTTCTTTAAACCCAGGTATATGTTTGCAACCTGTACTCGTTGATTATGTTTATTAGCATTAAGATTTACGTTAACATAATTAATATACTTTTAAATCACTTGATAACATGTTCTGTAGTGTATCATCATCAGAATCTCATAGTGTTGGTGAAAGTTAAACTTTGCAAGTAGCTCTGAAAGTAGCTACTTCACTAATGTCTTATAGGACACAGCGCTAAAACATCCTTACTACCAAATTTACAAAGACTTCACCACACCGTTAATTGCTCTTGTGTTGCCATTAACAGGAATTTAAGCTAAACTATTATCTGCTAATTTCACTTTCATGTCTAGATTCCAGAGTCTTCAGTCTGTTAGAAACCTTTCAAAATCTTAATTCTCTTCTAGTATTGCAAAAATCTACACAACAAAAAAACCCTGGTTGTAAGCTGTTGACTTTATTTGGATGTGTCCTAAGGTTCGTAGTGCCAGTTTAGTTGGGCAACCTTTTAGTGGAGGTTCTGAAGACTTGGGATCAGGAGAGCACCTGACAGGCCTGTTGTCATTTCTTTTCATTTCTCTTTGAAAGAACAAGAGATATTCCTGGGATATTTCCATTCCCAGATGAGGGAGGTGAGGTAAGGTCGTTCTCCCTCCCACATCCTTGAACAGCAGCAGTGAACAGGAGAGGTGACTGGAGGATAAAGCGGAAGGTAAAGGAATGCTGCCTGAGCAGGAGAGAGGCCCTTGAATCAAGGCACTGGATCACCGAGGAGAGCGGGGGCCAAGGCTTTGCACAGTGGATTATTTTGTATGGGTCACATTAAATTTTTTCCAGCTACAGCTGCCAACTTACAAAATGAGGCTAGGGCTGTAATTCTTCCTGTCTGTCTGTCTTGCTGTTTGACAGTAAGCTTTGGCTTAGGATCTATCTCATCCTATTGAAAATAATGATTTTTTTTTTGTTCCTTTTGAGACCCCATGCCAATAGTAATGTGTATTTCTAAGGTGCTGGCTTGTGGGCTATTCGTTACCCAGTCTCTTACTCTTCCATCAGGAATGCTGTAAGTGTGTAAGAAGCAGCACTTCCCATTTTGTTTTCATTCTGGCTTTCTGATCACTTTTACTGGTAGAGGTGCTGCACTGTACAGTTGTATCCGCGTGCAGGATCTTCAAGGTCTAATTGCATCTAATTCTCAACCCTGCTTTTTCTTCTCCCTTGAGATTGATTTACGCTATGAAGCCAGGAATCTGGAACGCTTCCGACAAAATTTCTTGGATGTTGATTTTGTGAAGTTCCCAACGCCCCTTCACCCCTTGGTAACAAGAGATGTTCTAGTGGAAACGTTTGAGGTAAGAATAGCAGGGTCTGGGAATGGTGGTAGCAGTGAGATGGCCCTTAGGAGACCATGCTAATGTACCTCCTTTGAGAAGGAGAGATCAGAGGCAGGAGGATGCTGTCTTTCTCTTATTTGCTTAATGAGATTGATGTCCTTCCTTTAGTGTCTCTTCTAGTCTTTGTTCATAAACAGTGCATTCCAAAAAAACAGGTGGCAGACACAACTCCCTGTAGAAGTGAACGCATGGCCTGAAGCCAAAGCCAACCAGCAGTGTGTCCAGCCACCCTGTGTTTGCCTGTGCTTTCCACTCCAGCACTGTGCTCTGGCTCTCCTCTGTGGTGGGTCACAGAGCAAGGAACTTGCAACCTGACCCTTTCTGATGCTTGCTTTGCTTCCCTTGTGGATGTTTGAGTCAGTCCAAAGCTTGTTTTCTCAGCCTTAGTTTTCACGTATGCAGTCCTGGTGAGGATATTTCTGTCCTGGGCTATTTCACACTCTTT